ATTACTGGTTTCAATAATCGATAAAAATATGATTCACGTCATCATAATAGTTACTAATATGAAAATACAATGTTATTTCAATTTTGTAACAGGATACAAGCTGATATAATAATATAAAATGATAATATAATAATAATAATTTAATTAATTTTTTGTTTTTCGAATCAATATTTTATATAATGCATAATATTTATTATGTGATGTATACATGTAATTAAATACGTATAAATTTATACAATTTTTGTAATAATATGCACACACACTCATATTTTTTTTTGTTTTAGTGTAAATACACAATAAAAGTATACATGAATTTCACACACAACATACACTTATACATAACATACTTGTAATTTAAAATTTGAAATACAATTTTTTTATAATTATAACTTTAAAAGCAGAAAATAGAACAAAAAAATTAATTACAAATTTATATTACATAAAAAATCCTTAAACCACAAATAACATAATAAATTTTATGTAAATTAATACGAATATTAAATAGGAAATTTATATAAATATGTTATATAAGAATATAATTAAATAATAGTATAACATTATGTAAATGACAATGTATTTAGAGAACAAATAATATAAAAATTGTATATAAGTAATTTTTTTTCTACTTTTTTAACATAATCCACAAAATTTTATTCTTTCCATTTTTATTATTTCAATTTTTTTTTCTTTTATTAATTTTTTAAAGATTTTTCCGTTCTTAAATTTTATAAAATAAATTTTTCAACCATTTTCATTAACGCTTATTTAAGAATAATTTTTCTTTACGATATTTTATTTTAAATTTTAAAAATTTTTAAAATTTGTATAATTTTTTCAAAAAAAAACTCTTAAGAGGCTGTCTTTTTTTTTAACTCATATATTATATAACACTTAATAATATATAAAATATAATAAATCGATTTTTGTTATACAAATACTATTTTTGACACATAATTTATACTGTTATACTAGTAATTAAAAATGGATCTGACAATTTTAGGATTTTTTATTTTTTTTCTTTTCTTTCTTTTTTTTTTTTCTTTTTCTCATTTTCTTTTTTTTTTAATTTTTTTTTAATTAATAATTTTTGAATATTTTAAGCTTGGCATGGAAATTTTTTTCATATAATTGCACGATTTTTAAATAAAAATGGAACAATTTTTTAAATATTTTTTGAATAAATTTATACAATTTTTGTGTAATAAATAAAAATATATTTGAAATGAATGGAATGATCTCAATTATTTTTAATATAATAAGTAATTAAATTTGCTATAAATAATAATGCAAATTAAAAAATAAATAAAAATAAAATTGATTTGTATTAAAATATAAGATCCAAAATTAAGATTTTTACATTTAAAAAATTAAAATATTAAAGTATAGAGTCCAATAACACTGCTATGATAATAATAGTAATAGTATAATAGAGTCCAATACAATAACTGAACACTGCTATGATAGTTATAGTATATATGAATTTAATATCAAGTCTTTTAAGTAACTTGGTTGACACATAAGAGACTTTTACTCCTCATTACTTCTATATATACGCAACTCTTTTCCTTAAAAAACTATTTGCTCTTTCTATTCCACTCTTCTTTATGTTGTGGCATACTCACTATTGTGAATTAATCTCTTTGTGATTAGATGGCATTTTTAGAGATAATGCTGATTTTATACGTCATTATTGAAGTGTTTCTTACTATCTTGACAGTTTTCAACTGTGAATAATCACATTTGATTTGAAAATGTAGTTGACATTAAATTTACTATAGACGTAGTATAGTAATATAAAAGTAATGGACAAGATCTTGTCCGAAATTATTGCTATCAAAATTGACACGCTTATTTTGAGTCGCCGATTTACAGATTCTTAATTTCAAATATTCAAAAATCTTCTAATCATATCGCGTTTTGGCACAATTCTAAATTAAATAAACAACAACTATAATACTATAAACAGGCAATATTAACTAAAAATTATAATTGATTCAACTTCAACTTTAAAATTTGCATATATTCTTACAAATATTAAATAAAATCTTGAAAAATATTTTTATTTCTAATGTCTTCTGATTTCGCATTAAAAAAACAAATATCATGGAAAATTTCCCTTTTAATAATCTAAAATTCTTCTTAAAATTAAAAGTTAAACAAACGTAGTTGGGAAATATGGTATGAGGTGTTAGACAACAAAAGCAAGACATACGCATTATGAAATTTGCTTTAAAATTCAATTTTCAATTCAATTTCTCTCCAATTCAATTTTCAATTGAAATTCTCATAGATTTTTTCTGAAAAGCTTCTATTATGTAAATACTCTCTACTCCATGTAATCATAAAAGTCATTTCTGATCAAAGATCAGATCTGCTTCAGAACTGTTATCATCATCATCATCTTTTCTACAGCTCCATCATCATCATCATCTTTTCTACAGCTCCGGGTGAGCCTTGATTTCGTTCACAATTTTCAGGGTTCTCCAGACTTCACGGGTTTGGGCAATTTCCCTCCAATCATGGACCCCAATTCTTCTTCAATCATTCTCTATACCATTGAGCCATCTAGATCTAGGCCTGAATCTTGCCCTTGTGTTTTATAGTCTTGCATCTACGATTCTTTTCTGCGCTCGATGTCCTGGCATTCGAGATACGTGTCGTACCCATCCTAATCTGTGTCACTTAATATATTTGACAATATTTTTGCCATCAGTTAGTTCTTCTAGACCCCGATTTGATCTTATTTCATATTCCCCTTTTTCATTTAATTTTGAACCAAATATTTTTCTGAACAGTTTTCTTTCAAGTATTTTCAACTTTTCCTCGTCACTTGTTGTCATGGTCCATGTTTCGCAGCTATATGTTAGTACTGGTTGAATTAACGTCTTGTACATTCTAATTTTTATTGACCTGGCTAGTAGCCTGCATTGGAAAAATGCTTTGTATGTATAATAGCATTTTTGTGCCGCTTGAATTCTCTCATTAATTGTTATGTGCATAGCATTTTTGTTATTTATTAAGGCATCCAGGTATGTAAAACTTCTTACACCTTCAAAGTTTTAATTGTTAATAGTTATGTTTTAGGAGTACCATTTCTGGTCACTAGCATGTATTTCGCCTTTAACTCATTGATTATCAAACCCACAGAAGCAGCTCTTCTCTCTAATATTAAAAAGTGATTATCATTTTCGAACAGAACTGTTATCATTTGTTCATATTAATAATTTTAAGTAAAAAATAAAATATTTCTAACATTAATTTTTCTTATACTTTTCTACCATTTTAAAACTTAAAACAGAATATTCACAATTTAAAAAATTTTATATTGCATCTGTTCATCCTCAGGCAGTCGTATAATATGCATTTGACTATAAATTTTTTATATTAAAAAAAAAAAGAGAAAATTATTAAATTTCTTTTTTTTTGCAACAATTCAAATTGGTTTATTATTATTTTAAATCTACCGATTTCTTTTGACTATTATAAAAGATTTTCTCACAAATTTTTCAGAAACAGATTTAAAAAATATTCAAATTATCTGGAACAGAATTGCTTGAAGCATAAAATATACCTTTATTTCAATACATTTTTTACTATACAAATTTAAAAGAGCTTATAATTTTTTTGAAAGAGCTTTAACTTAAATTTAATGAACTTCAAGGTATATGTACCACATCCGAATAAAGTATTTTTTTAAAGGCAAAATATTGAATACTTTGACAGAAAATCTTCTGGAAATTTATTAATTGAAATAAATTAATAAAATTTTTTAAAATTTTCAATTTAAATTTTTAAAATTTATAAGAAAAATTTTAATGTAACCATATTGTAAATGCATTTTGTCCACAGTTTATATAAAGTTGCCTATAATTATGCAATTTCCCCCACTTTTATTATCTATTTTATTATTTGTTTTGTCATGCCTTTAATTATCCTTACTACAGTAATTATCAAAGAATAATAATAGAATTGCTAATCTTTAATTGAATAAAACCCCTGCTTTGTGTGGAATTCTTTTTGTTTTTTTTTTGTAAATCTTTAATTACAAAAGAAACACCAACAAAGAGAATTGTGAAGAAAAGTTAAAATTAAAGATAATATATGGTTGCATTGTATTTTTAAACCATTTATAAAGAGTTTACTAAAACTAAAAGCATATTTTTAATGTTTTAAAGTTTTCGTACTCAAAACTCGTATAAACCAGCCAAGAGCTATTAGACGTGCTTAACTTATTTTTATGTGAACAATCTTCTTATTATATGAGTTATTTAAACAAAACTCTACGTATATAACAAGCTAGAGCGGCAAGAACAGCGTTGTATTCATTGTAATAACACAGATTTTTTATACCAGAATAAAATATAAATTAGAAATTTTCAAATATACGATAATTTTTGAAACTGAGTTTACAATCTACTTAAAATCATAAATTGTAGCAAGCGGTTTTTTTCCCAAAAAATTAATTTTGTCAGGAAATTTCACTATGGACTAATCGTCAATCGGCTTTTTTTGGTGCAAAACACGCATTTTTATTCCAAAAAGTGCGATACAATAAATTAAACAAATATAACAAGCCTTTTTAACTTTTTAAAATCATTTGCAATGTACATACATTTTATATAGCAAATTTGAGTACAAACAAAAACACTATTTTTAAAATAATTTCAATAAGCCTGCTGCATGTTTTGCTATAACGAAAAGCATTTTGATTAACTTTAAAAAATTTTTTTAAAATAAAATTTTTGACTTTTTATATTTCTTTAAATTAATTGAAAATAATATATTAATTTTACTTTTATATAAAATAAATAATTAAATTTCTAATATAATTTAAAAAAATAAAATATTTAAATTAATAATTAATTTTTTTTTTTTCTCTTTTTCTTTCTTTCCTCTCTTTTTCTATACTGTTTCTCTCTCTTTTTCTTTCCCTTCAAATTTCATCCACTTATTTGGTAAAAATTATTTTATTTAAATTATTTTACCGAACATACATGCAGTGAACTGTTCAATTTTCGGTCGTAAAAAGAAGCAATGCCGGGATAAATACTTGGCAAAACATAATGCTGTGTTTGATCAACTGGATTTGGTCACTTATGAAGAGGTTGTTAAAGTGCCAGGTAAATAATAAGAAATTTTTTTTTTTATTTAATTAATTAAATTTCCTTCTAGAATCATATAATTTAATTTTTTGATTTTTATGTTTTATTTTTAATAGTTGGAGATCCCAACTTTCAGCGTAAAACTTTAGTTTTATTGGGCGCACATGGTGTTGGTCGCCGTCATATCAAAAATACCCTTATAGCTAAATATCCGGATAAATATGCTTATCCGATACCACGTAAATATAAATTTTATTTCATTTATATTCAATTATCTATTTATTATATTTACAATATTATTATAGATACAACGAGACCTCCAAGACCGGACGAAGAGAATGGTCGAAGTTATTATTTTGTTTCACATGACGAAATGATGGCTGATATTGCAGCTAATGAGTATCTCGAATATGGTAAGTTGATTGATTACTTTCTTTTCAATCTTTCGTTTTTAAACATTATAGTCATTATCCTCACTGCACAAAACTTTCTATTAATTTAAAAATATCAATATCCATAATTTTGTAATTACATATTTTCATGAAACATCATGACATTAATGACATAATTTAATTATAAAAAAAATAAAATCATGACACATTGGCAGTAGCGTCGAATTATCTTCAATTAAAGTCACTTTTAATTGTTAATAATTTGACGAGTGAAAAATTTTTAAACGCAAAATATTTCATTCTTAATTGTTGAAGAAAAAATTTTAATTGATTAAATTAATTATGAAAAACATTTCACGTCATTTTTACACATTCATATTTTGTTCCTTGTTATTATTTTAATACGTATAAGCGTATATATGTAATGTGAACACATTTGTACATTACATATAGTAAAGCTACTACAAAAATATTTTGCACAAGAAAATTTAATCCTTTTTATGTTCATTTAAAGTCAAAATATTCTCCGTCATGGCAGATTATTTTCATTAACAAATTATTTAAGATCATAAATAAATAAAAAAAAATAACAAATCCCTTTGATAAACAATTTTTCTTTATATTTAACAAAAAAATTACAATTAATTTTAGGTACCCATGAAGATGCAATGTATGGAACAAAATTGGATACAATCCGACGTATTCATACCGAAGGTAAAATGGCTATTTTGGATGTTGAACCACAAGCGCTTAAAATATTAAGAACAGCTGAATTTACACCATATGTTGTATTTATAGCAGCGCCATCATTACAAAATATTGCTGATGTAAGTATTAAATTTATATTTATATATTCACAGATTTGTTTATGTAATTAATGTAATTAATGTGCCTATATATACAATACATATATGTAAATGCTAATTCAATTATATTGTTATTATTTTATTATTACACATAGTATAATATATAATATAAAATTATTTTTAGTATGATGGTAGCTTAGAACGCCTCGCTAAAGAATCAGATATGTTACGTCAAGCGTATGGACATTTCTTTGATTTAACAATTATAAATAATGATATTAGTGACACAATAGCAACATTAGAAAATGCTATTGATAAAGTACATACAACACCACAATGGGTACCAGTATCATGGCTCTACTGACAAGATAGTGAATTAGAATGTCCCGATTGTTTAGAAGGATGCGATTGTGAAATTGAATCACAATTTACATAAAATATAATTATAAAAAAATATATATATATACATGCATATATATACATATATGTATATATATTATTATAAAAATTTATTGTAAACATGCATATATATATATATTCAATATACATATATATACATATATATATATATATATATTTATATATATACATACATATATATATATATATATATATATATATATATATATATATATATACATATATATAAAAAGCTAAATTTTGAACCAGAACAAACGAATATATTCAATAATAAAAAAATATTAGAAATAAACATTATAAATTATAACATACTAATTTTATGAATATACAAATATATAATATACAAAACAGTTAATATAAAAATATAAATAAAAAAAATATGTAGTACACAATATTCAGTATAAATACATATATATGTATGTATATATATATATATAGTAAAAATATGTATATAGAAATGATATATATCAAAATTTAAATGAATAAAAAATATTAAAGATAGAAATAAAAAATGTAAATTTATTATAAAATATAATAAAATAAAACACAATTATTCTATTTTGAATATGCACATATATATATATATATTTCTATATGCATATATATATATATATATATATATACATTATAAACAACAATAGAATATATATATATATATATATATATATATATATATATATGCAGAAATATGAAATGAAATATGAAATCATAATGAAATACAAAAAAAAATGCTCTTACATTTTTAAATAAACATAAAATAAACATAAAAAAAAAACGAAAAACATCAGATATGAAATTGCAAAAGAAAATATTTTTTAAACAGAACAAATTTAAAATTCACATATTAAAAATTATATTGTATAATATGAGAAATAAAGAATAACATTTTTCTTTCTTCGTTCGTTTTTTTGCAAAAATATATTCACAAAACTGAAAATATATATATATACAAAAACAATAATATATATAATATTTTATATACTCATATATTATATTCATATATAAAGAACAAAGAGAAATATTATTAAAGCAAATATAAATCACGAAAAAACTTACATGCAAAATAATAATATATAGAAAAAAAGAAAAACAAAAAAATAAATAGAAAAAAAATTCACAGCACAGAAATTGCAAAAAAAATCCTTAGTTTTTTTTCAAACCACATAAATTCCTTTCGCATTATTCTATTCGCCCCCCCCCCTATACTAAAAATTTCACAACAAAAAGAATATAGAACTAATAAATCATATTATTCACAATTTTCACAATTTTTTATATTCTTTTTATTCAAAATTTTACAATTTCATATTCAAATTTTCTCAAAAAAAAATTTTATTAAATTCGTCATAATTTTAAAATTATTTAATAATTCAAATAATTATTTTTTTCCCATAATGACATTTTTATTATAAAAATATAAATTAAATTTTTATTATGTTGCATTTTTATTTAGAAATTTTCAGTATTAAAATTGTATTTAAATTTATAATTTATAAGGAAAATAATTAAAATAAATTTTTTTTTATTTAATCATGGAATGCAACGGAAAAGTTTTCAAGCCAAAATGACTGATAATGTAAAAATTCTAAAGCAAAAAAAAAATAACTACATAAATATTAAAATATTAAAAATAACAATTAATAAAATATTAATTATATTTTTTAAATAGAGAATCATTTAAATAGTATAATATTTATTTTAATATTCTTTCCAAATAAAATTTTATAATAATAACAAAGTATAGATAAATTCAAAATAAAATAAAATTCTAACATTTCATTTCTCAATATTGACAACATTAAGATTTCTTTCATTTATTATCGAATAAATATTTTTGTCATTATTATTTGTCAAAAAAAGAACTTGTAATATTTTTAACAATATTAAATTGTGAATAACAATAATTTCAAAAAACATATTTGTATTGACATTTTTGACATACCATTATATTTACAAAACAAAAACTCACATGCATTATGTCAATGTTATTCAAATATGTCAATACTATGTCAAAAACAAAAATTTAAATCAATAAATATTTTCGATATTTTGTTCTATTAAAACTTCTCTGTGCCAAGAAATTTCTGTTTTTTAAAATTAAATATTTTTCCTTTTTTCATATTATTTTTCTACAATAATTAAAAATCTTACATTCCAATAAAATATTTTCAAATTGAATTCACTTTTTTAATTAATTTTTTAAAAAAAAAAATTTATAAATTCTAAATTAATATTAATAAAGAAAAATAAATAAATATATTTAAATAAAAATATATATATATACGTAAAATTTAATTTTTATATTTTAAACATAAATTTTATAAAAATTACAAAATTCCAATAGATGAAAATAAAAAAATTATAAAAATTTATTTTGTAAAATTAAAAATATTTTCAAATTGTATGCATAATTTAAGAATCGTTTATATTATATAACGCATAAATGTATGTACATTCTAAAATATTTATATATACATAAATAAAATAATAATAACATTAAAAATAGAAGAGCTAAATTAAAAAAAAAAAAAATTAAAACAACAAAACATTCTGAAATGTAAAACAATATTTTATCATTTTGATTTGTAAATTCAGAAAAATAAATTCTTAGTAAACACAAAATCTTATAAATTGACAGCTTCAGTATATAGTCAATCAAGCTTCATTATGCTCAATGCATAATATGTAATAATTAAATAATATATTGAAGATAATATTGAAATACATTTAGCATTAATTGAAATTAATACATTTTCTTTTAGAAATTAGTAACAATTTACCAAATAAGTTCATTAAATTGGCATATTCTCTATAATTATGAGCAATTATTAAACAAAATGTGCTATTTCAAAACAATACATAAGTTCACTGAATTGACACATTTTCTAATTATTAAAAATAATTTTTTTTAATACAATGTTCGAATGAATGCTAAGAATGTTGAAAAACATTTGATTATGTCATTCATATGGCATTTAAATGCTTAAAACTGGCAATATCACATAAAATTTTAAAGATATACAGCACCCTCTTGCGGCTTGTCACAAATATTTAATAATTATACTCGTATTTATTAATAACCACAAAAAAAAATTTATTAAGCTACATAATTTGAATTTCCATTCGAAATGATGAAATCTTGTTTTAACAAATTAAGAATAAATTAAATAAGAACAAAAATACATAAATAGTAAAAATTTGAAAAACCAAAATATTAATTAAACAAAAATTTATAAAAAATATATAAAACATAAATAAAAAAATATATATAAAATCATCAAAATTAATAAAATAATAAATATCTATTTAACATTTTGTATATATACATACTTATATATATATATATATATGCATTAAACATATAACCAAATAAAATCACATAATAATACATTATTAATATTTATATATATATACACATATGTATATACATAAATGTATGTATATGTATATTTATAAATTTTCTATATAGAATGATTATTCCAAATTAAGGAAAGAAAAAAAAAACACACACATAACAAATGTAAACTCAAAAAAACAAATGTTAACATTAATTATAATAATTTAAGATAATAAATAAAATTTTTAAATAAATTTAAAATTAAAGAAAAAATTATTAAAAAAAAAAAAAGTAAAAAAAAAAATTTTTAAATTAGACATTATAAAAACTAAAAAAAAAACAAAAACCAAAAAAAAAAAACAACAAAAAATAATTAAAAAAAAGTGTTTAAATTTAAAAAATAAAAAAAAATCCCAAAAAAAATGAAATAAACGTTAAAAATAAATTAATTAATTATTAATTAAATTAAAAAAAAAAACATTATTAAAATTATTAATAATTAGAAAAAATTGTAAACGAATTAAAAAAAAAAACACAAAACAAATTATGACGAACTGTTATTTAAAATTTAAAAAAAATAAATATAAAATTAAAAAAAAACACAAGAAATAAAGAATAATTAATAAAATTAAAATGAAACGAAAAGATAAAAATTGAATTTTAATTTTTCTTTTATTAATAATTCTTATTCGTTTTTTCTTTGTTTTAATTATATAAATATAATTAAAACAAAAAAAAAAAATTATTTTTGTCCAAATTCCTAATTATGATTCGAAAAAAAAAACAACAAAAAACAACTTAAATTTTCTTTGTACCCATAAATTTTTCCAAAATTAATTTATATATAACTATAAATAGAGTGTGCTTGGAAATGTTTTTAGGAACTAATAAATGAAAAAAAACATATTAAAAAATGCTGATTTTAATAAATTTAATTTTAAATGAGGAATAAATTATTTTTATAAAATGAAAAACAAGAGAAAAAAAAACTTTGTAAATTCGCATAAAAATTTAATTTAACTAAATCAAAAAAAAAATGGGTTTCTTCGGAATCATCAAATAAGAATTCTATCAAAATTCTGTCAACGATTCTGTCAAAGTCACAAAAAAATAAATGTCAATTTAATTTTTGATTTCAATTGTGTCTTTCTTAATGTTTTTTTTACATATTGCATTATTTAACATGAGAACATAAAATTTTTTAATGTATAGTACAATTTAATTTTGATATAAAATTTAAAAACAATTGAAATTATGAAATTTCAAAATTTTCAATTTATTTGACAATAACTAAATACTTTTATTTATATTTATCAATTTTTCTTTTAAAAATTTCGCATTAACAAAACAAAATTAACAATAATTGCAATGAAACTAAATAAAATAAAACTAATTTGCCAGATATATTTTTCAGTATTGATAACGTCGCAATCACATTATCAAATAAATTCTGAACATAAACAATTCTATACGTAAATATCTCAGTAATTGTTTTGTTGATATTTCAGAAGATGATACAAATGTGTTAGATACGTCGTAGATGCAATTCCGATAATACTCAAAGAAAATAAAAGAAAAATTTTATTTAATAAAATTTAGAATTAAATTTTTTTGTTTTTATTTTACAATTTTCATTACGTTTGTAATTTTAAATTTAATATTAAATTAAAACAAGAAGATTTTTATTCATAAAATATATAATTTGTATTATAATTATGTGCCATATTAATTATATAATAAATAATAAATGGGAAAATTTAATTTTTCCAATATATTATTTTTAATCAAT